TAATTTTGCGGTAAAAAAGACCGTGTAAATTTTCTTTTGTGACACCCTGTATATCCGTTGGCTGGGGTGCTTGGACAATGGCCTCGACCTTCTGGGGTGCCGGATGCAGGCCGTCCTTGTCGATGACGTAGCCCAGGCACTCGACGCTGGACACCCCGAAGGTGCACTTTTGCCGCTTCAGCTTCAATCCTGCACTGCTCAGACGCCGCAAATATCTCTTCTAGGTTTCGGCAATGTTCTTCCTCCATCATGCCCGTCACTAGAAAATCATCAAAATAGACGACCAGCTTGTGACAACCTTGCAACAGGTTTTCCATTTCCCGTTGAAGCACTGCAGGCACCGAAGCTGTACCAAACGGAAGTCTGTTATACTTGGAACGTCCCCGCTGGGTATTAATAGTTAACTACTTCTTTGATGCTTTATCCAATTCTACTGGTTGGTAGGTGTCCCGGAGATCTAATTTCGAGAACTTCACGCCCCCCGCCAACTTCATCCAGATTTCTTCCACCCGCGGCACTGGGTACGTCTCAATGTCTGCCCCTGGTTCACGGTAACATTAAAGTCCCCACCCAGCCGGATCTTTCCATCTTCCTTTAGGAGCGGAATTGGCGGGGCTGCCCACTCCGACGTGCGCACCGGACTCAGAATGCCTTGACGCTACAACTGCTGGAGCTCTTGCGCCACCAAATCCTGAAGTGCGAGCGGAATCGCTCTTGGCCCGAAAAACCTTGATATAGCGTCTCCCGGCACCCTTATCCTGGCCTCGACATCACCAAGGGTACCCAGCCCGTCCGCAAACAGTTCCGACCTAATCCTCCACACTCTCAACGTGGTGAACATCTAGCAGACTGTCGAGCAGCATGCCGAGTTCTCTCGTCCAATTTTTCCCAAAAAGGGCCCGTGACCCTCCCCTGACCACGATCAAAGGCAATTGAGCGTGCCTTCCTGAGAACTCGGCAGCCAGCGTAGCCTTCCCGGCAGCCGCCGCCTGTTGTCCGAAGTACCCTCGCAACTTGACGTCGGACTGTTGAATCACTGCTGGGAAACGCCTTTTGAGCCCCACCTCATCCATGACCGAGTAGACGGCCCCCGATTCAATTTCTATACGCACCGTCTAACCACCAAACATCACCGTAGCACATAAGTGCGGTGCCCGTGGTTTAAGAACGTTCACGACTGCGGTTTGCGCCACGAAAGCAGCCTCCCCCGAAGACTTGGGTGACCAGACGTCTTGTTTTGGCCGGGAAAGTCCCGTTTTTGAGGTCCGCTCCTGCCGTCCCGTCTTTTTGTCCCAATGAAAAGTCATGTTCCGTTTTCGCAGAACTGCATATTTTCGAAATTGGCACCAAGCGAGTTGAAGCAAACCGAAACTCGCTTTGAAACCAAATGAGTGCATGCAGCTGAACTCTGAGTCCGACTGCTTCCTAGGCCCTAGGGCTTAGTGCAACATGGTAACGTTTTGAAATAAGAGCAGTTATTTAAGGGAATTGTTCTCCCAATCTTAACCTCTAATACCCCCCCCCCCCCTCCCCCCGAAAAGGTCCACCGAACTCCACATGGGTACGTGACCAGACATCGCGTCGTTGGGATGTCCCGTTTTCTACCTTGAGGAATATGGTCACTCTACCGAAGACCCGTGTTCTAGTAACCACAAGCTGTCGACGTCTGTCCCTCCAGCCTCGTCGTCGGACGCTGTCTCCACCGCTATCACGGTTCGTCGGGTGTAGTTTCCCGCCCGTTCGCAATCATACTGTCTGTTAGTGACAGTCGTGTCCTCCGAATTCTTAGTTTTTTTTGCTTGGACAGACACTTCCTGGCCACATGTCCTTTTTTCTGGAAAGAAAAGCAGTGTAGCCTCCGGATTCTGCACGCAGACTCACGATGCCGACCACCGCAACGATGACAGTCGTGGGCCGCCTCCCTGGCACTCGATACTCGATGCAGAGCCTGTCTCTGCTGCCCGGCCAGTCATCAATTCCGCTCCCTTGACCGCTGTTTTTATGCTCGAAACAATCAGGACGGCTCGGTCCAGAGTCAATTCCGGCTCCTCCAAAAGGCGTCCTCTCATGAGGTCGCCCTGAATGCCTTGGACGAGTCTGTTTCTTAGATTGTTGTCCGGCTCTCGACCGAACTCCCATGGATCCGCCAGCTTACGCAGCTCGACGATAAAATCCTTAATTGCTTCACCTTCGTTCTGCGCTCGGCAATAAAAGTGGTAATGCTGGACAATCACGGACGGTCTTGCTGCATAATGATCCGTGAACAGCTGTGAACTTTTGCGGAGTGGAACTTCACTTTGGCGTCTGGGTGCCGCCAAACTCCGGAGCAGAAAATACGTCGGTCTTCCGCACAAACTCAGGAATATTGCACGCTGTATGTCCGCCGGAACGCTGTGAGCAATGATGTGTTGCTCGAAAACTTCAACGTACTCTTGCCACGCGTCACCACCCTCTGCAGTAAATGCTTCAAACTTCGGCATGGCGCAGGCGCTACGGCGTCTTTTCCGGTACAGAACAAGACTGTTCACTCATGTTTCTCCTTGTCACCAGTTGTTACAGGTTAATATTCACACTAATATATATACAAAAGAAGCGAGCCAGCTTGGCTCGCAGCTGAGATCTTCCTGTCGGCATTCCATATGTTTCGTGCCGCTCGCGCTCTGTCCCCACTGGCAGCCGCCCGGTGGGTGGCGCTAGCTGCTGCCTCAGCAGTCATGTGGACAACATAGCCCCTTAAGGGCAAATTTTTTTTATATGTTCTTGACGTCAGAGGTCACGTCAAAAAAAAAACGTCACGACGACGTCACGTTACGACGACGCCTTTATGCCATCGTCGATACGCCATTACACGACGCCAAGATGCCGTCCTGAGGTTGTCGTGACGTCGCTTCGTGTCGAGGACGACGCCGTTACGCGACCTCAAGTCGCCCTTGAAACGTGGTTGTGACATTGCGTCGCTTTGAGGTCGACGCCGTTACACGACATGAAGTCGCCTTTATAACGCGGTTGTGACGTCGCGCCGAGTCGAGGGCGACGTGGACGTGATTGTCGACGCCGACGTTGACGGCGGCGCCCCTCGCAACATCAAACGTCGCTATGACGGAAAGTTAACGTCGTCCCGATGTCACGTTAACGTCGTCCTGACGTTGCGTGACGTCGTCGTCACGTTAACGTCGTTGTGACATTGCGTGACGTTGTCGTTGTCAACGCCCACAATGCCATTGTCGTCGTCGTGAACGTGATAGACGTCAGAACCCAGTCTTGATGTCGTGTAACGCGCGTTGTCAACGTCGACGACGACGTTGACGTCAAGGCGTCGTCGGAATGTCGCATGACGCTGTGACGACACTTCAGGTACCTGACGTGACGCCTGACATGACGCCTGACATCTAGGCTGTGTAAATAATATAGCTCGGGTCTCTATTGTTTATATGACCTTGACCTGTGGGCCGGTCGAGCGTGGCGTTGGAACGCAACGCTTTTTTTCAGAATAAACGGCTGTTAAAATGCATTCTGTGTTAAAAATTATCTGACCGGTTGGCGAAGAGCTTATATTGGAGCGCTCGTTTACTCCTTGTTTATGCTAGTGCCATTAAATAAGCTATGTTTCAGAGTAACGACACTTGTCCATATTTTGGCTCAGAATAATGGTTGCCAGTCATCTGAAGCTTTATCTGAAATCACAGGAAACACTTTTCCGCTCTCTAAAAATGTTTAAAAAGTTCGCGACAGAGCTAAGCAATATTACTTTAGCTTTCTAACACCAAATCTAACACTGAGGAAGTCGCATTTATGAATCTCATGACGATCGGCAGTTGCGTCTGCTCTGCAATTGCCGATCGGCGGTTGCAAAATGGTGGCGTCCGGAACAATGTCGGGGAACAGAGTGGCGATAATCTAAGCGCCGCTCATTTGGTGACTCTAAATTATGAAAATCCAAGCCACTTCGCTCGTAGTGTCTCTAATAATTTTTTTACATGCGGAGCTCCAGAAATAGCACTCCAATGCCCCCCCCCCTCCCCCCATTCAATCCTTTCCAGTTCACTCTAACTGTGATGTCAGCCGGCGTCTCTAGTGAGGAATCTGTCACGCGACGACCTACTGACTCGATCACTCGAAAATACGCGAGGAGAGCAGGTCAGCACCAGATAAGGCTGGCCTCGTTTTGCGCGCCTTCGATTGATATGCGGATTCCCTAGGAAACAAAACAGCCTTCATGCAGCGCAGCGAAATCATGGTGTGACGAAACGCTACGGCTTGGTCATGTACGAGAAGATGCACGCTGGCACATTCTTCATGGGCGGATCAGGATTACAGTAGGTCGTGCTTGAGAGCCGTGAGAATTCATCGTGCAGGTGCCATGCTAGCCTTGTGAAACACTGTACTCGAACTTAGCAATAGGCCAAAAATTTAAAAAAAGTCAGATTAGTCTGACGAAAATAATCCCTGGAGAGGGGGAACAAGAGGGACAAAGGACAAACATAAATCTCCAAACACAGCTAGGTGACTGGTGCGCGACTAATTGCATTATAATCATAATCAGATTAGTCGTTAGTTCATTTATACAACAGGAGATTAGTCTGTTAAAACATGGCGACATTGTTACCCACAGTAGATAAGCAATTTTGCCAGTGCAGTACGACTGCTAGCCTGGGGTCTTTAATGTGCACCAAGCAGTAGTCATACACGACCGCACGCCGATATGATGCTCATCCAGATCGAAACGGCCAGGAACCAGGAGTGGGGATTGAAACCGGGATTTCTGGGTTCTGCAAGGCGAGCTTTCGCTCCATGTGCTCCGAGCTAGTGTGGAGCGGTCATCTCTACGCGGCTATTATGACGTCGTGCTGGCTGCGAGTGTTGGTTGACGCTCTTTTAATTCTTGATAAGTAGGCTGCCAACCTACTGGAATTTCAAAATTTTATTGCAATTTGAAGGTTTTCATTTGGCTGACCCTTGTAGATGAAAATAGATAACCCCTAAGCAAACACGAAGCCACGTAGTCTTGATTGGGTATTTATTGTGCTTCGAAAATGCAAGGCGGCTCTAAGGCCTGCAGCTTTGGGGCATCCCAAGCTGTGAGGGTCTTCAGGCTGTAAGCACGGACGTCGCAGAGGCGCATCCGTCGCAGTTGTAACTGTTTCCTTCGACCGTGGCAATGCTGTTAGGTCCACACGGCTTTCTGGGGTTCTTCGGCACACCTGGGCATTGAACACATTGTGTGCAGATGATTAGTATGTTCACCAGAAACTCTTTATTATTGAAGCAAAAGCAAAAGTGAGGCGGGAGAAGACTTAAGAGCAAGGGCATCTGCCCTCATTAGGAAATTACTTTTTCTATAATGGTTGGTTCACTTTTGAAAGTCGGGTTTAGGGCGCACAAGGGTGATGTGGCGCAGACTACAATTTGTATACGAGCGCTGATGAGAGAGTATGCAAGGTGTTCACCTCTCTCTACAGGCTATGGTAGGAAAAACCTTTTTATATATATAATTTTCATACTGATATCAAAGTGGCGTGTATGTACATACTAGTGCACTGAATTCAATCGTTTGTCTTGTGCAAGGTGTTTTGCGGAAGGATTGCCAAATCGCTCCTGTTAAAAGTACGCACCTCTGAGGAAGAAGGTTCGTGTCAAATATGTATCTACCGAAAGTCAAGTCTGGGCAAATGAAAAATGTTCGGTGTATCTCGGTCGTTCATCATTTTTATATTAAAATGTTCATTCGCAAACTAAAATGTATGGTTTAAATTATAAACCCTGTGGGGGGCATCATCAAAAAGTATTAAATTAGCGCACTTCACAAAAATGTTAGGCACACGCAACATTTTCCTGCGTTCCACAAAAAAAAACAACAACAACAACTTGATTTGGACCTGTTTTTAGGTTTAGGTTTCCAGTGGGAGTGCAGCCTTGCGCCAGCCATCCGGTTACGCGTGGCCAAAGCGCTCAACAGAAGCCGTCTCCTCAATGGAGAAAAGGAAGTGTGGCTCAAGTAGGCGATACGAAACGCTGCGCTGTTCCAGTTACAATCTAAAAATAAGCCTTGGTTCTTGAGTTCATTCTCGTCATGCGAAGACTGAGTGGCAGAGGACGTTAGTTTCGCGCAGAGCCTTTTATAATGAAAGTGCTTGGTTGGCCTTAAGGGGATTTTGACAGCCTGGCAACCACAGCAGCGTATTCTGACAACCGGGGATGACTACTTCCGTCCGCCATTTTGTGGCTCTGACTCTTAGGAGCTCTATGCGATTTCTCAGGAATCAACAAGACAAAAAAGTAACGCCATTTGTGTTATGGCGGAATCCACTGGTTCTAGTAGGTAGTAAGCTCCGTCCATTGGTCAAACTCTCTCTCAGTATAAACGGCTCCGGTTTCGCGCTTTAACCACGGGGAAGCAGGACCGCCGACGCTGAGGTGAGTTTTGAATTGAACTCGCAACTTCATAAAGCGCACCAAATTGAGTTTTTTTTTTTTTTTTTTTTTTATAGCTGTAATATTTTTCGCGTGACTTATATGTCTGTTGATTACGCTAATTCAGTGGTTGTTGATGATGCCCGGAAAGTTTCTAATTTAGTGGTTTTGGATTACGACCACAAAGTTTCTAATTGAAACCATACTTTTGAAAGAAAATTAATCGAAATTAAAATGAAACCTAATTAGGATTCACAATAATATTTTTGCTCAACAGACCCTTTAGCAGAAACCAACAGGACATCGACTTTTTTTTTTCTTTTACGATGAGAACGTTTTACATCAGCGATTAGGCCAGCGTTTTACGAAACACTTCACATGTGTATCAAAAAAAAAAAAAGAAATCAATCAACGATATATCCACTTACTGACAAACGAACAATGCAGATGTTGTGACAGAGTGTACGTCCTGTTTAAGGAAAACTTTGTTTTTGCAAAAAAAAAAAAAATTACAAGATACCCAACAAAGTTCGTGAGGGTGACCCGAGCCTGACGTAAACAATCGAGAAGATGTACGACAATCAAAAATCCGCAGTGGTGTGTACCTTCAGAAAATAGCTCGATGTAATTATCTTCTGCTGTTCAAGAGTAGACATAATAAATTACACTTACAGGTAGAGCGATGGGTGCCGTAACAGGGACACTTGATGCACTGAAGCCCAGTAGTTTCGTAAGCGCACACCTGGTTCCGGGTACACTTGGGACCCTGTAGAAATTGGGCGATTTCGAATTCATCTATCTACGCTAATTAAAATAAGATAAACGTTAAATCTGATGTCGCTTTATTGTATACAAGTCATGATCTATATATCCAGAAATAAAATATTGTGATAACCCACATTGCTGAAGGATCACCTTGAGAAACGAAAATGGAGATCCCGTAGTAAAACCGTGTTCTCAATAAAAAAGCGTCCTCATCTTTATGTGACCAAGATCATCGTCATCCGGTTGAAATTGATTTTTTCGATAAACGTACGTAAGTGATGCGGTTTGCAATTGCCTCAGACGCGGTAAGCGTTCATCAATAACATAAAATATCCAGCTAAAAAAAAAAAAAAAGTTGCAGACGGCTTTTAAAATGTCCGGGCACAGCGTAGTAGACGGACTGGCGGTAGTAAGCGCCGAAGTGAAGGAAAGAGAGCAAAAACTAATCCAAACAAGGCAAAACAAAATACGCGATGCCTCGAACGTCAAGTAAAAAAAGAACATAGAAGCAGGAGGAAGAAAAAACACGACGGCGCAGAGTTTCCTCAAAAATAAAAAGGAAGTAGACATTGAAAAATGAAAGGAGTTGTTGAAGGTCCAACGGGTGCCGGCTTTATCGCAGTAGACGACGAAGACGTTTCTCGTCCCGGCGCTAACAATGGGAATATGTGCTCCGTATATAACGTGATCGAAATCACTTTTATTTGCACTACGACGCTCTTCTCGTTTTTTTTTTTCTTTTGGACGCGCAAGAAGTCTGCTTTTCTTGTAACTCCGCTTTTATTAATTTCAGTAATAGCGTCAGATTTGCATGTGCACAATCGACTCCTTCCAGAACATACTGACATCGCAATAACGCACGTGGTTCGAAATTGCCCTTTGCTTCTTCATCCTATTCGCCTATTCGACAAAACGGTTTTAAGCAAGTCATTCATAAGGAATGGGAACCGCAACAACGAAGAAATTGATTGATAAGAACAGTAAAGTTAAAACGAAGCTACGTTCTAATTTTTTTTCTTTTTTTACACTGCCCCTTTTCTCGAAAGCAGTGCGAAGGTACTACATTCGTGTTTTGTTTCGCTTACATAAGTTGTGGCAGAGTGTTTTCTTCAGGAGAGCCCCAAAATTGCAACCTGAAAGCTGTAACATCTTTCCCACACGAAGAAAATGTCATTCCCTTATAAGGTGGCACCTATTTTTTAACATTCAAAGCAGCGAATACCCGCGACAATCTTTTTTTACTGGTCACCTCGCACGGAAATAGGCAAAACCAATGCGTTGCGCAGAATTCGTCTGCTAGCAAAGTCTCCGAGCTCGCCAGGGGCGCTGCGATCCTTTTCACCCGCGCTCCGCGGGGCCCCTACTCTCGTCAAGCTTCGTGGTGTTAGCCGCTTGGGGCGTGTGAAGTAGGAAGGATTTTATTAGAAATAAGTAAAATTTGTTTTAGAAAAGTCTATATTTCTACAGTTGCGTCGGCATTGATTTTTTTGTTTTTTTTTTATCTGCCTATGTTTGTGTCTGCATTTTTGGGCGTCTTCCGCCCCCACGCGCGGGGAAGCTTCGAGCAGCCGCGGGGCTCGGTGGAGAAGAGTCGGACCCCGGTCGTTAACAAACGGATTGGGTTTCAGTTTGGGGCGCCGGAGCACCCCCGTCTTGGGCTTCTGTCCGCACTTCTGGCTTTTAAGCGGGTGTGCTTGTGTCCGGCGTATTTCGCCGCTTAGTGTAGAAACTTCGCTTTTAATCGACGCAATAGCTTAACTTGGTGGCGCCAACCAGACGGCGAAGAAAGCATGCAGTGACTCTACAAAGAATTTGGGTTTGACCGTTGAGGTGTCGGAGCGTGGTCACGTTGACAGCTCGCTGATCATTGGGTAAGAGTGTACCACGTGACAATGGGCAAATTTGAAGTGATTGGTCTGTCTCTGGAGGGAAAGGAGGCCCCTACAAGTCTTGAAGAGGGCTGCCGAGAGGATTCTCGGGGATTCAGCTCTTGAGATCTGGCAGATTCGACTCTTGAGACTGGGGGACTAAAGTATGGTTCTTAATTTCGGGAGTTTTGTCATGTAAATTACTGTTGACTTGTTGTCGTTTTGTATTGAAATAAACGTGGCCACACTGGCCATCGTAAACCAACAAACGTCGTAACGTGTCAAGCGGAATCGAACAACTTTTAGTTTTTTTTGTTTTTTTTTTATTCGGCTCTGCGGGGGATTTGCATCAGACGAACATTATCATCGGTCTTCACCATCCTGACCGGCCCCCTCTACCTCGGAAAGTTGACTGGGCGGGTCGGGGATCTACTAACGAAACGTCATGCGCAGGCCTTCTCTTCTAGCAAGTATTGGTTGTGGCACCCAAACGCGAGACAAAGATATTATCCATCCACGAAACAAGTGGAGTACAACAACAAAAAGGCACGAGGTACACCTAAGCACTTCTCATGAGTTGTGAATGCGAAAGCATGCACGCCGATCTTCCGCTCCCTTCTTTCGTCTGCGGCGTACTTGCGTCGACGGTCGAGCGTGCGCGCTCTCCTAGCTGCGCTGACATGGGGCGTGGAGCGGTGAAGCCGCTGACTCGCGGACAGGCAGCACCATGGTGTGGCGCTAATTGAAACTGACGCGCGGCGGCTTCATATTACTGCTGTTTGCGTGGCTTTCCGCGTGGTTTCAAAGCTGGGATGCCTGAGACCGCGGCTTCGGGAATTTATGTGCCGTTTGGCGCGGCTGATGACGTCCGCTCGAACCATGGAACAGTTAGTGCTTTCGCATTAAAATTAAGCACGCTGCGGCATTCACTCGCAGGCAAACGACGAGACAGAAATGCTCGCTTTGCTTTATAGATGAATGGATGGATGGTAATGGTAATACTTTGTAACAGGCGGCAGCTTGTGCCACCTCGACTAACATTTCGTCATCTCTTTTATTTTTAATTTTGATAAATTTTGTTTCAACACAACCCTCCCTTCTTTAAACTGTTCCCATTGCTTATTTTTATCTGTATTTTCAACACTGGCTAGATCTTTCCCACCGATCTTCCAATCTCCTCTTAGTTAACGGAATTATTGCATTATTCACTCGTCCTTCCGTCTGTGCGAATCCCAGTGCCCCCTTAAATCCGTAGTCACCCCTCCCCCCCCCCCCCCCCCCCTCCACCCCAAGAGGGTGGGACGAAGCCGCGTGCACCTTATAATTACATATTCTATAGTTCCTCTTTCGCGGTTGCATACGTCGCATAGAGTGTATATTTCCTGGAATTTAGCCCTATATGTTTTCGTTCTTAGCATCCCCGTTCTAGCTCCAAACAGCAATGAGCTCCCGAATGAATTGTTATACAACTGTTCCTTTTTTTATTTCTTGCTTTTGTGTCATGTATATTGTTAAAGCTGATTTCCCTAGCATTTTCTTTTCCCACAATTTCCTCTCAGTTTCCTTCCCCCCTTCTCTTTTTATATCCTCTGATCGGCCCCATCTCATTGAATGTATTTAAATCTCATCGTGCGGGTTTGGTTTGTTCACTTAGTGCTTACACTTTTCATATATAGATTTGATACACTTTCGTTGCCCACAGGGTCTCTTCAATTTCAACTAGTAGTCTTTGTTCAAAGTTTACTTTACAGATCACTTCTCTACTCTCGAAAGATGCCCAACCCATATCCCCCTGTACTCTCTCATTTGATGTATTCCCATGTGCCCCCATTGCCAACCTACCCACACTCCTTTACTTTATCTCTAAACCTGCCTGGATTTCTAACCTCATACACAATACCCTATTCCCAAATGACAGTCCTGGCACCATGACTCCCTTCCATACACCCCTAACGACTTCATATCTATTATAGTTCCAAAGCAAAGCAAATTGTTGTGTGTATGTTTATACAGCCGAAAGTTAGTCTGCCTCAGTTGGCGTCTGATGTCTCGGCTGTAGATCAGCAATTTAGCCAGTGCGGTATATTATAGTTCCAAAGTGCCCTGTGTTTCATAAGGGCTGAATCCCGTTTTTTCTTCTTTATTACAATATCTTCATGTTCTTTTTCGATACTTTCTTCTCTCATTTAACCACACTCCCAGATATTTACACTTTTCTACGCTATCCCGGTGCCTTGCATCTCCAGAGGTTCCCCTTTCGCGTCGTTATGAACATGTATCCCAGAATTGTCCCTACTGAAGTTGAGGCCTAAAGGGAGTCATTCTGATTAGTACCTACATTGCGTCTTGACTCTCTGCCACAAGCACATTGCCATCTGCATACATCAGCCCTGGTAAAACGTGATTTACTTTTAGAGCGCAGCTCTTAGGCGCCCGTTTTCGGCTTGAGCGGCGTCGGCGTCGCCGTCGCCGTCGCCGCGGCGTAACCGCGCGGTCCATTATGGGTAAATTTCCCCGCTAAATCGCGGAAAAATTTCCCCGCTAAATTTAGCGGAAAAATTTCCCCGCTAAATCTAGCGGAAAAATTTCCCCGCTAAATCTAGCGGAAAACTTTCCCCGCTAAATCTAGCGGAAAATTTTCCCCGCTAAATCTAGCGGAAAAATTTCCCCGTTAAATCTAGCGGAAAAATTTCCCCGCTAAATCTAGCGGAATAATTTCCCCGCTAAATCTATACTTCGTTTCAGCTTCGGTCCGAGCGCGGCCAATGTTATGAGCCGAAGGGCCAATCAAACAGCGAAAGAGCCACAACGTCATGGCGTGCTCTCTGCAATTGATAGGACCAGCCGCTATTCGCCGTCTCTCTGTGCGCGCTCCTCCGCCGGCTAGTCCTATCAAGCGCAGAGAGCACGCCATGACGCTGCGCTTTTTGCGCTGTTTGATTGGCCCTTTGGCTCATAACATCGGCCGCGCTCGGACCGAAGCTGAAACGAAGTATAGCGGAAAAGTTTCCCCGCTAAATCTAGCGGAAAAATTTCCCCGCTAAATTTAGCGGAAAAACGTCCCCGCTAAATTTAGCGGAAAAACGTCCCCGCTAAATCTAGCGGAATATGCCCGCTAAATCTAGCCGAAAAA